TTTAACTATACATGTATACTTACGCGATCTAACCCCAAAAACAAAATCTGTATCATGGATGATATTGTTCGCGAAAGCCAACGTGTTATAATTGAGCAAGTTTACTCTTATCTCGTACAAATGCGATAGCGCCATTTGTCACTAACCAATGGATGCGTTCGGCCCTTGGGCCCCCCGTGCTCGTGAGCGGTGTCAAATAAGAAGGCGCGATGGTGGCCAGAGGCGAGGGGTTAACAGCGCGGGCCCACACAGCCGCCGGACGTGGCCGCGTGGCCTCGTGTCGTCCTTGTGACGTCGTCGTGACGTCGAGCCGCGCTCGGCGTGCGTCACCCACGCCGCCTCGTGCGTGCCCAAAGCCTCCGTGCAGCAGCAGCAGCAGCGGCGGCGGTGACAGTGACGGCGGCGAGACCTTATCACCCTGCGAGCATCGACTCGCGCCACGGATATTAAAAAACCTTGACATTCTGAGCGCGAGTAGGTCACCGCGCGCCGCTGTTGTAGAAGAAAAAAACACACACACAACACACACACACAAAACACACAGCCGCCCTGCAATAAGCGGTGACCCACCGCATCTCTCTGTCCCCAAGCGGGCCACCACCGCAATTTAATAATAACAGCCCATAGCCGGTGGCCGCTGATAACGTCTGCAATATTGCCCCATGCATTACCAGGGCGCCGTGACATTTTGACAATTAAATTGTTTAAGTGCACGGCACCTTCTTTGCCGCGTGTGGCGAGTGTGGCGGTCTTACAAAACGCCGGGGGGGGATGGTGGCCGGGGTTCTGTGGAATGGTGACCCCGAGCGGCAGTGTCATTCACTGCGCAGTTTTCTAAAAGTAGAAATAACGATCTCAAGGAGTCAGATTGTCGAAACAGATCGTAGAAGGCGGCTGCACATCGGCGATGCACGGCGCCCTGCGTTCATTCGCCCGCTTCAACCCCCCCCCCCCCCGTCGCAATTCGCGGGTACTTAATTTCAGTCGCTCTGATTAGCATCGTGCATAGTCAATCACGCATTTGTTTCCCGCATGCTTGACCTTGGCAATTTCCAATTAACGCGTTTTTGATCAATTCACCTGCGTGTCCATCTGTTCAGGTTTGCCGTCGCAGCCAGAGGGAGTGGATTGTGAATCTGTGACGACTGTCCCGCCCAGAGTTCGCGGGGTGGCGGGTGGCATTGTTCCGGTGGGGAAGTGGGGTCTGGATTCTGAAGACAATAAATCGAATATTTTTTTCCATAGTCAGCACCCCACATGTTTTGTGGGGGGGGGGGGGGGGGGTTATTTGACCATACTGCACCATGCTGAACGGTATGTGCTGATGAAGGCTGGGAGCATAGATTCAGAGAACAGTACCGTACAACAATGCATTTGGCTGCACTGGCCTCTGCTGCTCACCACATCGCCTCCATGGTCCGATGACAAGCTGGTGACCCATCCAAGCACAATCCAGACGGAACGCTAAGGGCGCATTCCAGGTGATTTGGTCATAAAAATGCGTGTCTTAATTCTAGATTTGCAGTTTTCGTGTCTGCAAGGATCTTTTGGGGTTTTTTTCGATAAAGTCACGTAGGTTAAAAGAAAACAAATAAATTAAATCACACCGTTTAGGAGGCAACACAAGCTTCCGTCTTCAGGTGGAACAGTCACAGCAAAAAATACCGTATCAATTACTGCATCACTTGAAATTACTGTATCAATTACTGTATCACGTGATATAGTAATTGTGCTTTGATGGTTCCACCTGAAGACGGCAGCTTGTGTTGCCTCCGAAACGTCGTGATTTAATTTATTTGTTTTCTTTTAGCCTACGTGACTTTACCGAAAAAACCCAAAGAGTATGCGTATCTTAATCAAGTCAAATGGTACATATTCATGTTATAAAATTATACGTGAATTCAGTCATGTATGTTTCATGGTAATGGTTGAACATGCAATGCAATTGTCTATGGGAGTTCATTATACTGTTCCTTGGATCGTAATAGCACACAGGGATATGACGTATCCACGTATACACAGATCAATCAATTCCAATTCATGAAATAAGTACCACGCTTTATGTTCGAGCAGGGGTTGGAAACCCAAAATAACAAGAAGAGCCAGTTTTTTTGTATTCATTTCAAAAGCCGCAATGCAATTTGAATGACGTCACGAAGCAGTCATGAAAGAGCCCTATGCGGCTCCAGAGAGCACCACTGGGAGCCAAAAGTAGGTCACGTGTTTGGACCCCCACCCCCTCCACCCTTTCAATTAATAAAGTGCTGGCGAGATGGCAAAAGACGTTTACAAACGGGGGGTGTAGTGAGATGAACAGCGACACAGATCAGCCAGTGATGTCGTGTCATGAGAGCGATGTGGACGAGAGACATGGCGTGTTAGTGAGACGAGTGAAGGCAGCCGTGGACGACGGAGACATGAGAGAGATTCATTCAATGTTTATGCACATTTTATTTGCATGTGATTCGGATTTTTTTTTCAAGCGGATATTTGGTACAGCTGTTTCCATTCATCCAGGTCCCCTTGAGCCACTTGGGGCTCCGAGCATTCGCTTACTTTGCCGAATGCCACCAATGCGCTCTATGGTGGCATGTATTGTTCGGCGCTTCTGAATCTGGAAGCAATTCCATTAGCTCAGGAATCTCAAGAACATGTCTCTGTGTTAGAGGGCAATACATTTTTTTCATCACAACTATTTCAAGTACAGTATGCACACCGTATGTCGTCCATTATGAGGCAGCGATTATTGAGAATGCTTGGAATTCCATCGAGAGAAAGGGGGACGACGCGTGGAGCAGACAACACACGTAGGTCAAAGACATTATTCAAACTGTTAATGGTAATAAGTAACTGGGGCTTGGACAGAACACGTTGCTACAAAGGATGATAATCGATGGTCGATAATAATAATAACGGAGTGGCAGCCGAGGTGACGCATCCGAGAAGACGTCACCCGAGGGAGATGGAGCGATGAAATCAGTTTGGTGGAATATTACATTTCCAGATCGTGGGGGATATCAATCAATCGCTTGCGGAGGCCTTCACCGAGCAGTGAATTGATGCTCATGGTAATGTCAACAACTGTATTGGTGCCGACAGAATCACAACGTGTGCTATTTGACCCTTTTGAAGGGTTCACGAGCAATGTTAAACGACTCCAGCTTTGTGTGTGCGAAGGTTGGAGAGCCCAAGGGCTATTGTTCTCTCGCTGCCACGTGCGGGCCGAGATAACGCTCAGCTGCTGACCTCTAGCGGACATCCTGCGGCGCTTAGACGGATTGCTGCCACTTGCCCGGGACATCAGCCCGAGTGCTCCCGATCATCTCCATGATCTCGTCGAGATCTCGCAAGCGAAGCAGGAATTTTTGGGGCCCGAAAAAGTGCTTAGATGGGGTGACCACCATGCACAATAGATTTGCCATAGGACTGTCGGGCTTACGTGGTGGGCCATTCGATGGTTCAGTTGCGCTGCATGTATATGCTCCCCACCTTCACGAACCCACATGAACCAGCGTGGGTGACGTGTGGTCAAGTCATCCCAACGACCCTCACGGTGTGGGGAAGCCCTCACTCATCCAGCAGTGAATTGATGTCTACTGCTGGATGAGTAATTAGATTAACATTGTAGACATTGTGTATTGTATGCTCATGTTAATACAGCACTCGTGTTAATACTCACGCTCTTGTGGAGAGGATTGTACACACGAGTTAGACAATTAACTACAGCGATGTCAATTTACTACACTTTTATCACTTCATATTATCATAAGCGGTCAGGAAGAGGAAGTAATATAGCAACTGTTATCGCCATATAACCATACACTCTATTTTTCATATACATCAAACTGCAACTCATGTTTTAATTACATTTGGCGATAATAGCCTCAAAAGCCAGTAACACCTGCTCAAATATTGGTTTCCCCATTTATTTGGGGGAAAACCAATATTTGTTTACACCAGCGCTGCTCTGCCGAGCACAGACGATAGCAGCAGTGGCATGTGGGTGACACGATCATCATTGCTATGGATATACATCGTGGCTTTGTTTTGGGAGGTAATACCCACAAACACAATACTGGGTTAGGGTCACCGTGACCCAGGTGCAAACATGAACCCATCGAGCTTATTAGTAAAAAAGCTCTACGGTGAAGAGCCTCGCTGAGCAGATCGAAAAACTTTTGAACAAATCACGATGATGTTAACCTGCCCCAATTTCCATCCGCCACTCGGCAGCAGCAAGGGGCCCCCTAAACGGGGGGCGAAAACCGAAGCATCGCCTCCGCGTTGCGTTCCGCTCCCCTTCTTCCTTGTCTTGGTCACGGCACCTCGCGGAACGATGAGAAGGCGCCCTCGGCACCACCCTCCTTGGGCAGCACCACGCTGCCACGCGTTCACCAGAGGGAGCCCCGCGCATGGCAGACGTCGGTACCAATTTCTGCTGTTAGGAGCAAGCGTGTTTTTGTTTTTATGCGCCTGTATGACAAGCTACCCTTCTTCCCCAGACCACTGTATTGTCATGTGTTGTAGCTTTTAACAGAAATGTGCTTATTATACACGGAATACTAATATCCAGCTTGTCTCGGATAATATATTAGGTTGCATCAGACTAGAGCGCTCAGCAAGCAGCGCAGTCAGGAGAAATGAACTGCCACGCATCCCCAACGAGGTCACCGACGCCGCCACTGCTGCGTGCGTCACGCGCAACCTAACTTTCGGTTCCTTGCAGTTTAACTAAAAACACGTCGATTTTTAAGGAGCGTTCGGTATGTGGGAGACGAGGCAGGGAACGTCATTTTTCAGTGGCTCTCTGTGAACTCCGAAAAGCGCTTTCGAATCCGCTGCAGGCACCGTCTGCTTGAACGACGAGACGTCAGCAGCACGTGGTGGAAGTCAAAAGACTCGACACGGGCGAGCAGCCCTGCCTTCGAGGAACAAAACGACCTCTTGGGCACACACACATTTTACATTTTCTCCGAACAATCATAATCAGGAAGCAAGAGCATGTATTCCACGTGGAGGCGGTTTATTTTTTTTAATAATGAAGTATACAGCAAAGGGTGTAATTTACTGTAATACAAATCAATAATTATCTTCTTGGCAACAAGGAATTCCAAGATTGCAATATGCCTGGTTAAGTACTCCACACAGCTCTCATTTAGCAAGGTGGACATAGCATCAATTGTACAATAAATTTAATGCAGAAATGTGCATGGCACATTATACTATGTTCTGTGTATCCTTGCAGTGGAGTTTGTCTAACCATCTAACAAAGACGGTTGCTGCATTGCGCGCTTTCACGGCCGTCTGGAACACTCTTCCTTCCAATAAGAGGAAGCCACTGGATCTATGGACTTTTAAATCTAAATTCAAAACAATTTTTTTAGAACTGTTCTTATGTTTAGTTTTTTGTCCTTCCCCTGCACGTCCGATGAGCACGATTGGCTACGTACAGTGCAAAAGAAGTTCAACATACATATGTACCGAAAAAAACACGTCATGGCCATTCACTCAAAAATGTCTGCTCGTTGTCAATTGGGCGAGTGAAAGGACTGCCTTATAACATCACAATTTCGTGACTTACTGGCAGCTTACTATAATTTTCACCTTTCACAGGAACGAAGAGGGCACACATCACAGCCAAGAAAGAATGCATGCTTGTATTACCCTGTTGCCATCTATTGCAACCCTGGAGTCGTCATTTTTGAAGATTGTTCATTAACACAGCAACAAACCAAGCTCCTACGGAAATGATTGCCTTATGGGGGAAAAAAAAACAATTCACAAAAGCATGAGGGGCTCAATGCAGACAAATCAAACATCTATTAAAAATAAGGAGTTCACTATAAATGGATTACTACCTCATTCATACGAATGCCAGTGTTAACCTGTGAAGTGAAACGGTAAAAATGTTTTTGATAATAATAATTACAAACACCCCCTTTAACACCCCTTCAAAAATCCAATGTAAGAAACCCAACAATTGTTTCTAATGTTTAGCGGTCGTGGGGCAGCTCGAGTTGGAGGCAGGTTTCGGGCAGGAGGGAGACCTCGACTTTGACCTTGTCTGAGACGCGGAGCGAGACCGAGACCTCTGCCTCGACGGTGATGGCGACTTGGATTTTGAGAGAGGCTTCATCTTTTCCTTTTCCTTCGGAGATCGAGACCTAGAGCGAGATGGGCTGTCTTTCTTTCCCTCGGGTGACCTGGAACCAGAGCGAGACCTGGTGTTCTTTCTACCCTTAGGAGATCCTGATCTGGAACGAGATTTGCTGTTTCTCTTTCCCTTGAGAGACCTGGAGCGAGATCTGCTGTCTCTCTTTCCCTTGAGAGACCTGGAGCGAGATCTGTCATTCTTCCCTCTCTTAGGAGACCGTGACCGAGAACGAGATGCGACTTTTTTCTTTGCCTTTAGAGACCTGGAACGAGACCTGCTGTTTTTCCTTCCTTTGGGAGACTTTGACCTAGAACTAGACCTCACGTTCTTCCTTGCTTTGGGAGATCTAGACCTCGAGCGAGACCTGGCAATCTTCCGTGCCTTAGGAGGAGATACAGATCTGGAGCGAGACCTGGCATTTCTTCCTCTCTTGGGAGACCTGGAGCGAGATCTAACCTTCTTCTTCATTCCCTTGAGAGATCTAGACCTGGAGCGAGATCTACTGTTTTTCCTTCCCTTGGCAGACCTCGACCGAGAACGAGACCTGATGTTCTTCCGTCCTCTGAGAGATCGAGACCTCGAGCGAGACTTACTATTTTTCCTTTTCTTGGGAGACACAGACCTGGAGCGAGACCTGCTGGTTTTCCTTCCCTTGGGAGACCTCGACCGAGAATGGGACCTCGAGTATTTCCTGGCCTTTGGGGATGGAGACCTCGAGCGTGACTTGCTATACTTCCTTCCCTTGGCGGACGCGGACCTGGATCGGGACCTGGCGTTCTTCGCCCGCTTGGGAGATCTCGACTTGGAGCGAGAGCGCACATTCTTTGCGCGTCTAGGAGACCTCGACTTGGAGCGGGAACGCGATCGCCTGACCCTCTTGCGAGACCTGGACCGAGACCGAGATTTTGTTCGAGACCTGGATGTCGACCGCTTCCCGCCGTTCCTGCCGTTTGTTTTACCGGCAGACACAGAGCGGCTGCGCGAGCGACTTTTCTTTCTGCGAGACCGTGAATGGGACCTGCTGTCCCTGCCTCGTTTACGCTTTGCCGGTGAACGAGTCCTGAAGGAAAAAAATAACATCACAACGCCGCACCCGATAGCCATTAGGTGGATTTTAACGTATTCTTACGTCGCGATGTATAAAAACATTTCTGAAGTGCATGCATTTAAATCTAATTACAGAAACTCGAACAGTGCTATTAGTAATCTGTAATGCACATTTCTGGAAGTGTATAATTTACACTACTGAAAAACATTGAAATTTATATAATCAAATATTCCACTATCAAGTTCTCCCAGCACGTTATCTACAAGGTGCATTACGATATTTCGTGCCGTGCGACGTTGTTATCGTGCCCAACAATGCGTCGCAACGTTGCACGTCACGCCCTGCGTGAACGCCAACTCGTCGTGCGGCTTGGACCCCCAATTTGCTTTTATGAAGCTGTTAACGATGCCGGCTGCAAGATCTGACCTGGATCGGCTGCGTGTGCGGCTGCGTCGTCGCGCCCTTCTGCCACTCCTGCTTCGCGAACGTTTTGCCCGGTTCAGCCTTCGGCGGCGGTTTCTCGAGCGTGACCTGCCCAATACGATCAACACCGGCTCAACACAACAACCCGCAGCACGTGCGCCATATTGCACGCAACGGAATATACGCACGTGATGTCAATAAGTGCCGATAAAGTTTAAAGCTATTTTGTGACCGAGTAAAAAAACCTGGAGGCATTTATCCAGCAGTATATAGATCATTGCTGGTGATGATGAGAAACAGAGAGAAAAACTGTTCCCATGCTTTTATAAACACAAATATTCCTCGCCTGTCAGGCCCTTTACGATTAGCAGTAACCTTATTTTTCAATAACAGAGTGGGTAAGGCTAGACCTAGCTGGTACAGCAGAAACTCGATGTACGCACACCCCTTATCGCCCATGGGCCCGGAGCAGATACTTACTTGCCGGTACCACCTGAGGTGGCAAAACTGTTGTGGTTCCAATAGTGAATTACGTGATAACCATTTCAAATGACTGGGTAGCCGAATAATGAACTCTTATGAGATATAAACACATCGCTACAAATTTCGATTTAAAGCTTTCGTGACTGCAGGGATTCATCTTCTTGGTTCTTTCGGTAAAGTCACGTAGAAGGGAAGTAATAAAATAAAAATAAAACATAATAAAATAATAATATAATATAGTGATAATTATTTTATTATCTTTTATTGTTATTATTTTATTACTTCCCTTCTACGTGACTTTACCGAAAGAACCAAGAAGACATCGCTATAACTCAAATCCTGCTACCTCGGTACAATTTCTGCTTTATTGGGAAAAAGGCCGTTTGTGCTTTCATGCGGGGCTTGTATCACAAGCGAGCCTTCTCCTTCCCCAGACCACTGTAATATAAGATAAAAAAGTGTTTTTGCTTATAACGGAAATGTGCCTATCATACACGGCATACTAATATCCAGCTTCTTCCTGTATAACTATCAGATATTTTAGATTGTAACAGACTAGAGCGTTAAACAAGCCACGCAATCAGGATAAATTAACTGTCCCCGCATCCCCAGCTCGGCAACTGGTGTTGCCAGTTGCTGTGTGCGTCACGTGCAAGTGTTCTGTCGTGTACTGAACTCCAAACCTCGATCGACTGCGGCGTTTAGCGCGCAGCGTCCTGTTGGAGCGCTCCTCCCTCAGCTTGAGCTTGCGGCCAAAGAGCTCCATGCCGTCAAGCTCGTCCAGAGCTCGCTTCATGTCCACAAACGTGCGGAACTCCACAAAGCCCTCATTATCTCGCTCCACGTGCGCTTCGCCATACATCACCTCGCCAGCACGGCGCAGCGAGTCCTGCGGGAGAGTTGTCGGTGCGACCCGAGCGGATTGAGGCACGAGCTATCGTAACGTTTTATTTGAACAATACATCGACAAGATTTGGTAAAATTGGAAATAGATATCCTAAGAAATATATACATACATGGGTATTTTTTGCACCATAGAAATGATGGCAAGATTGATTACTGAGATCCCAAGACTGAATCGGGTCAGAAATTAGAATAGGAGGAAGTTAAGAGTGATGGTGCCCATCTCAGAGAAGACGAAAGAAAGTCGACTCAAATGGCGAGGGCACGCCGTAAGATGAGAGGAAACCCACATCGCAAAGGAAGGCGATGTTGAACATGGTAACACCAGGCCAGTGACCAAGAGGCAAGCCTTGGTAGAGGTGGTTCTTAGTGGTGATCTAAAATATGAAGGACTGTGGAGTTGACCTCGAGATGGCCCAGGACAAAAATGAGTGGAGAGGAGCAGGGACACCCACATGAGAGGGCCAATTAACTACAATGCGTGACTCACAATACAGGTCTGAATATGTAACCTTCAAAAGCATAGATGTCTATTCTATCATCCAGCCAAGTGCTTTACAAGAGAAAAACACAATTTGGTATAAAACCACTTTGAAAGTTACAATAAAATGGAATTGCATTGTACATATACAGCCCTTTTGCCTATCTACTGCTGGATGAGGCCCCACAACGCCGGATCGTGCGAGTTATTTGATCATACTTCACCATGATGGTCAGGACATGATGGTGTAGGTGTTGGGCAACACAGACGTTGCAGCATAGTACAATAAAACTATTTATTTCATTAAAACTGTCCTCTGCCGACGTGGTAGTTGCTGATCTAAGCAACAACATAATGCAAAAAGACAAATAAGAGGTAAAGATGCAGCCCTGCAAGTAGTTGCTCGTGCCACTGCTGGCAGAAGTGACTCCCACGAGAGGCATGATTTAAGAAACTTGGCCAATGTTTCAACTGGGGCATCGGGAGACAAAACCAGTGGCCAATGGATGGCAAGCCAAGTCTGCAAACCATTACACCACGGCAACATCCGCACAATTACAAATATGTTACAAACATAAATGTTGGTGAAGAATTTGCGATGGTCAAAGTCGAGCGATTACCTTCAGCTGTTCTGCATCGCAGCGGGTGGAGAGGTTCTCCACTACGAGCCGGTACTCGGTGCGGATTGGAGGCCTGTAGAGTCCGGAGCGTCCTCCGAAAATTGAAGAAGCACCTACACCAAGTGGACGTAGATTACAAAGCGTCTCATTCATGCCAAACAGCAGACGTATTTTAAAAATAGCAAATAAATATGTATGCGTGAAAAATAGCAATCATAGCAAAGGTGCAAATACATTGTATGTAGTGTATAAAGCATGAGTTAGTTCAAAAATAGCTATATATAGTGGTTAAAAAAACTATTTTCTGTGCTGTTTTGATTATACAGTTTTGTTTGAGCAAATTATTGCAACTATTAATGATGAAGTTGGTTCATTAAATATTGTTCATCTTGTGAATTACACTAAAGATTTTTTTTATTATTTTAAGCAACAGCAGAATTACTCAAACATAACCATGCATCTTGAAAATACAATATGGCAATTATACTGTGTGGAGCAAAGTCAGTGCAATTGATTCTATATAGCATACTAGACAATATGAATTAACGATACAAAACTGTGTGCGTGCATATTACACTTACGTCGTAAACAGCACAAAACAGTTTTAAGCTAATTCTAAACAATTAACAATGTACTGTAATGCAGTATGTGAAAAAGCACGGAGTTCACCAAACCAGCCAGAAATGACACCTGGCTGTTCCTCACCAACCGGGTCTAAAGGCAAGTGAGGCCGCAGGAGGAGGCTCCGGCAAGGGCAGCCAAGGGCCATGGGAATGGAACGGGTAGGTTGGTACGGTACGGAGTGGATGGGTTGGTGCGGTTGGTTGGTTGGTTGGTAAGGTAAGGCCATGGCCATTGGAACAGGCATCTTAGAGATTCTTGATTCAAAACATTGACGACTTTGTTAAATCGGTGGTTAAGTTTAAAGAGAAAACATTCAACAATTCATAGAAAAGCTCAAGAGCACGGGTAAATTATTTAAGTAGACTGGATGACGGGTTATGTAAGATCATATTAAAGCTATAATTAATCATTTGCAGTGTTTGCAAGGAACCACCGCATGAGTTAACTCGGATATAAATATTAACTAGGCAATAGACCATTGTTAAATATTTAGTTGTTACTTCTAAATAACAGATCCAATATTGAAATAACCCGTGGTCTTAAGAACATCAGAAACACTTTAAAATGCAAAACATACATTTCCATAAAATATAACAAAGTACTGTGTAAGGCATTTGCAATATATATGTAATGTACATTTAAAAACAACCGCTCATCAACACAGTTCAGCAGTATAAACAATGCATTTTCAGTAGACTTTTAACTGCACTCGAGGAAAAACACAGGCGCGAGTTGTTTTCTCTACTCCAGGGCAGGAAGCGGTGAGTCTACCTCCCGGCCGCCCCCGGGCGTGTTCCACCACCACCGGGTCCCCACACAGGTCGCGGCCGTTCAGCTCGTACACGGCACTATCCGCATCCCGGCCATCTTCAAGCTCCACAAATGCATACCTGAGAACAGCACACATCAGCCATTGAAGGACAGACACAGCAGCGCTCGCCTCGTTAACCACATGGGGTCGAGATGAAATATTTTGGTCGAGGCTGTCCCAGAAACTGCGGGTGTGAAAAAAATTCTTAGGCACTACGATCTCGAACCTCGGATGTATATTGTAACCATAACCTTCACAAAGAACACCATTGGAACCTCCATTGCCAGTAGCAAAATACGATAATTGGTTTGTTACACTTTTATGTCAACAAAACTGACACCTTTTTTACAAGGAGTCATGTTCGCATTGACCACAATACCGGAGGTCGGAATGCAAACAAAAAACACAACTCTGATAATGTATTCACTGTCCTTGAAATTGATTGTTCCACACCCGAGACAGCTTTTCTTAGAGCCTAGTGTCACATGGTATTGGACCATATGATGCCAAAAGGCTTGTGATTGGATGAAAATCTGATTAATAATTTAAAACCAATCTGGAGGAACAGTATTCACTTCCAAATATTTTAGACTCCAGTTGCGCTGAAAGTGATTCCAATTTCTTTACATGGGCAATGCAAGTGTGCTATGTAATAGCATACAAAACATTGGATTGATACATTTCACTGGATTAATTTGACGATAAATCATTACCAGTTAAAGTTTTTTCCACCTCACCGGTGGTGGCTCCTTCTGAATGTGCCCCAATGTCTGCAACGCCTCTGTCTTACCCTGTTCAGTCAAACTGACTGACGGCCTCTTCATTTTGAAGACTTAAATAGCCAACTCCCTATCTGCCCTACAGTCAACCAGTTGAAATTTGTACGGCATACATTTATACACATTGAAAATACAAACTTTCTTTATGCTCAGGCTCAAGGGCTAAAATAATCATGTTTTGTTTTCAGGCACCGCTATTAACTCCAGCACGAAAATATTCAAAATCTATGGCCATAAAATGGCCCAGGCAGCGATAATCGGACCCTCCTGAAAACAGCAACCCGATTCAGCTGAGGCTTGATTTGAAATACGTATTTCAAGTTAGCGAATGTTAATGAAATCAATTGCATAACATAGCCGAGCGCACTTACAAGTCAAACTTACATGCTGCAATATTTTATCTAAACATGAACACGTGTTTCACGAGGGCTGTCCAGCTTTGTTGGCAGTCCCGAAACCATCACATATGTAGATTACACATTACATATTAAGGCAGGACCAAAATCAAAGGCTCGAGTTCCTTTGACGGTTTGAGAGCGCACGAGTGTGGTCTGGCAATGGGCAGCATTGACTTGATGGTGCTATAGTTACGCGGTGTACATCTCCGCTGGAGGTACAGAACCCGCGGTGGAAATTCCACATTAACATGGCCAGAACTCAGGCTACAATATCAATGTTCTCTCTGTGTTTCCGGGTTGTTAATAATGCGTGTTGTTCCCGCATCGTGTTCGACGTTCGCTCCACGTGCAGAAAACACACTGAAGCTATATAGCACAGACGCGAAAATTCCTCGTAACAATACAGTAGAACTTATTTACTTAGAAAAAAACCTCACCGAGCCAAGACTATTTTTAGGAGGGTCCTGTATCGAGTAAGATGTATGGGCAATCCTAGATGTGGGAGAAACCTGGATTACCAAGACCCCCACGAATAGGAGTGAATAACCTTCAAAGCTCTGCACGCAGATTCAAAAATCCATCGCTCTACTATCATTTCCTGGTCACTTCGCAGTCCGATGACTTCCGTTCATCAAGTGACACTTTGTGCAATGATGTATATCAACCCCGAATAATTGACGTATATTGAAAACGACCATGCACATGAAACACGGGGGAACTGTATAGTCTGTATAGCTTCAAAAGCTAAGTTCAGTACCGGATTATGCCGCGTACCAGAGGCTTCACCTCGAATGCTCCATACGCGCCGAGTTGGCTCCATTCGACCATTCAATAGCCGATTCAGGAGTAAACGAACCACTGTTTACGATGTCCCACTGGGGCCTCATAATGAGCCGTGGTTAATCTACTGCTGGCTGATCCGGAGTGCGCAACAACCCACGCGGAGCTTCCAGCCACACACGAGGCCGATTTCATTGCTCCATCTCCCTGTGGGACGTGGACCCTCTCGAACGAATTTCCATTCCTTTGCTGTGTCGCTGGACACTTTGATTTTATCCACGTGATTTTGTTTTCATCAAGGGCCCTCCTTTGCCAGAATCAAAATATAATAGGTTTTCCCCTTACTGGCAATAAAACAGTTGTTAAGATGTTAAAACACAAAACCAAAACCTTTTGCAAGGAATCATGTCTTCATTAACCACATATACCTGTGAAAATACAAACAAATGCATATCTAAGAGCATGTTTTTGTTTGTATTTTCACAAGTATATGTGGTTAATGTAGCCTTGAGTCCCTGTAAAAGGTTTCAGTTTGGTGTTTTAACATCTTAACACAACTGTTTAATTGCCAGAAAGGGGAAACCTATTGTGATATACATTTATTTTTAAATCTTTGATACATTTGTAATAAACATTTCTGGACTCGCGGGAGGCCTAGAGGAACATGAAAAGCCTGCGGGCGTATTTCCCAGCGCAGATAAGCGCGCAGCGAGCTTCTCGCACGCCGATTGGACGAATCGCCGCACGGTCTCGCGACCCAATTGGCTGTGCGCGGGCGCGTGCGACGCGCGGACCAATGGGGCGAGAGCGCGTAATGGCGGCCGCCGATGTGAACTGGGGAATTGAGACTCACCCGTTCTTGAGGCTAATCTCAACGATCTTGCCGAAGCCTCTAAGGAAGCGTTCAATATCCCTCTCGCTCGCCTTGTAGCTCAGCTTGCCCAGGTAAAGACGAGCCATCTCTACGTGTCCCTTTTTTTGAACTGGCGGAGTTTTCGAGCGAAACGCGGAGCGAGCGAGCGCCGCCGCCGCCGCTGCTGCTGCTGCCACAAAGCGAGGCCCCCCCCCCCTCACTGCCGCATCCCCCGCGCGGTATCGGCCGGTGACGTCACCCGGCAATTAACATAATCGCCGATTGTACTCTAGATTTGAAGCTTTGGTGACTGCAAGGATCCATATTCTTAGGTTTTTTCGGTAAAGTCACGTAGGTAAAACATCAAAATTAATTAAAATAAAATAAAGATCACGACGTTTCGGAGGCAACACAAGTCTCCGTCATCAGGTGGGACCGTCACAGCCAGATTAGCTGCATCAAGTGAGGCAATGATTCAAGATGTAATCCCTTAAAAGCAAGTTGAGGGGGGAGGAGAGGGGGGCTCATCAGAATGTGGTAGCCAATGAATGGAACGTATCGGGAGGGAGGGGGGCGGGGCCGATTGTACTTTCGCGATTATATGAACGCATAAAATAATAATGTATAATTCTAGATTTGAAGCTTTCGTGACTGCAATGATTCATATTTTTAGGTTTTTTTCGGTAAAGTCACGTAGGTAAAAACGTTAAAAAGTAAAATGTGTTGCCTCCGAAACGTCGTGATTTTTATTTTATTTTATAATGTTTTTACCTACGTGACTTTACCGAAAAAACCTAATAATATATAACTTTAAATAGATTAACATGTCTGGCGCAGCTACACCTCACCCTCTAGCTCGGCCAACATTACAAAAGTATACAATTTTTTTGGATATTCCATGTTCATGTATAATACATGTTCATGTATTACATTTGTGGCAGTATATGTTGAGTTTATGTTAATTTATGCGAGATTCAGGGGCTCCTCGCTCAGCTGTGAGGTCTGTCTTTCCGACAGCCCTGTTCTTCACCTGTTCCTCACCTGAGGACGGCTGCTTGCGTTGTGGCCGAAACGTCGTGAGAATTGCATTTTATTATGTAATATTTTTATTATTTTATTATTTCCCTTCCACGTGACTTTACCGAAAGAACCAGGAAGATGAATCCCTGCAGTCACGAAAGCTTTAAATCGATACTATGCAATACATCTAAGAACCCTACTTTACTCCCAGAACGCGCTGTCTTGTTTGGCCTATAACAATATCACCATCAATTATGGACCAACGTGAACATTGTTTTGTTCTTCTTTGATTTATTATTCACAATGCACATATCATATTTAAAAAACTAGAACTGATATAACCTCGGTGAATAACATCGGAGTGTTCGTCATTTTCCATTGGTGGTGGCAACAGTCAAGGGAAGCAATTGATAAACAACACGAGGAGGTCCCCTTGAAACGGTAACAGCCCAGAGCCCCGGATATGGGGGGGTTAATGGTATTCATGCCCTTTATTTGCTCGACTATTAAGCGATTCAGCAATTCTAGACAAGACTCGTGAGATAATGCGTTGTTACACTCACGCTTCCATGCCAAATAAGTAGACAGTAGACTTTTGCAGATATAAAATACGGGGATTTATTCAACGAATCGATACTGTGTTTGTGAAATAGTGAATGTGTCTCATTTCGATCTCAGCATCTTAAGGGAAGGGTGCTTTAATTTTAATTCATTACAAAAGCGTTGTAGCAATAGGTGAGTCATCAAATTGCATTGCTTGGTAATTTATTTCAAGTATTGTTGATTTCCGTGTGATTGTGACAACACTCAATAACACAATGGCTTTTTTTATTTTGCTCAGTTTTGCTCTAAATCACTGTCAACATGGAAACGATCGTCATCTGTCATGATGTATGGCTTGAGCAAATTGAATGCACTTAAACCGCCACGGTGCTGTCAATTTAACGTCCGCACAATTTTCAGTACACTTGTAAACTGGAAGCGACTACCACGTGACTTTTTAGCAGCTCCTTTGGGGTTGCATCAGTGTTGATTTGATGCCAAATGTCCACTGCTTGAGGTAGGGCCCTATCGCCTAGTCATATCCATAAGTGCCACACTAACAGCTCCTTCAAAAATGAGAACAGGGTGAAAATACAAAAACACCCCACCAAGACCCCACTGGTGGTTGCCTTGACCCTACATTTTTTGCGAGCACCGAGTTATGTGCAATTGAGGTCTTGAGTGTGCGGACAAAGAGAGGTGGTGTTTGAAGAGCCCGAAAAGGGTTCCTCCTCTGCATTCCGTGAAGTTCCCCAAGATGGATTTTTTGTGCACCTGAATGGACGGAATAACTGATGCCGACACGTTAAAGTGTTCAGTCGTGAGCTGGTATAAACCTGAATCACCATGTCCAGTGCAGACAAGAAGGCCACATCATTGGTTCTCACTGAGTTCTCTCTCAAGTCAGCAATGGCTGTCTAACAATTGATTAGATGCACCACATTTATCAGGTGCTATTATGAGTCAGAAGCACATTTACATTCAGTTTGGTTTTAAGGTTGCCACCTCTGAGGTGCATAAACTTTGGACACATCACGGGAAGAAGAATATATCTCACAATACCAGATCAAGGGAATAACTACTTGTAAATGCATAGTCTTGAGTGGCGTATTCAAGTTAACCAAGTGATAGGTGAAAAGACCAGGTTCGTTTCAGTTTGCAAGGGTGACTTGGGGTGTTAGTCTGCCAGTTGGTGGCGACGGGCGCTGTGTGTAATCCCAATTGAGTCGATTGCGCAACTGACAAAACCTGGACTTTTAATGATCCGATTTCTCAGAGCAGCTACCTCAACAATTCAAGAAAGGTTTTAACATTTATCTATTACAGCGTTGATCGTGCTGTTTGTTGCTGGCTCTTTGAGGTTTTGGGCCTTTGCGTGCTCAGGAATTGTGTTAAAAGAAGCGGACGATCCTTAAAAAAAAACTCTTCAAATGTGTGCGTTGAAACAAAAAATAGATTTACAATTTTTCCTAACGATGTAGAAATGTGATCAAACCTGCGCACCTTAATGCAGTGGGCATGTGTTGAGATTGGTCAGTTCGTTAAGAATGCAGTTCCATTGGGAATTTGCAGCATTTGTAGCATCGTAGCTTGTTGCATAGGTCAAGGTCAACCGACTTGGGTTGCATGGCTGCACAGCCACAGAGCGAGGCAACTCCATCCAAGTCTAACCGAACTCGGCAAAAGGGGGGAAACTATACAGATACACGTTCTTTGAAATAACACTGCGTACATACTTTTATGCTTTTAATACTGTTGTGATACACACGCTGACATGCGGCCAGTCTCACAAAACACCTTCGGTCAACATTTTTCTCAAGTTGCACGACTTGAAAATGACGTAGGGAAACTTGCAATGTGTTTCATGCAACTGTTCACTGATATCTTTCCGACTGATGACACATTTTGGTTTAGCGACGTTGAGAGGGACCTCTCCAATATCGACTGGCTGGAAATTGGTGATTGCATTTATAAAAAAAAAAGTTGCATAGCTGGAAAAAAATGTTTTTGATTTCAAATATATTCACCAGAACACTTTAAAAGAGAGGTTCTTTGACCAAACATTACATTATCAGAGCTATATTTGTTCACCTGAATTAAAAATCGAGAAGGCTCTGTGTTCCGTCTGCAGTCGAGCTTTCGGCATTGTTTGTTCGAAGTTCATATTCAGTAACGGAGCCCACCCATTGCCTGGCCGACGTGATCAGCTCACCCCTTTGATTACACTCAATCCACAAACATTGACTTCATAATCAACGTTTTGGGATTTAGATCGCGTTATTTATAAATGTGTCGTAACCCTCCACCACCCGACACGGCCAATCAGTAAAAAAAGTGTCACGTTGACAAAAGACAAATAGTTCACTGCTTTAGCCCACCGGTGTGTTGAAGCGTGAAACCACAACATTTACAATTTTTGAGTACGACGTTTCGCTGGTAATTGCATCCAACATCATCGGGCAATTCGCCAGAATAGGTGAGGCTCTGCTCTGGCTCCAGGTCTTATATAGAGCAGCAGCAGGGTGACGTGATCATTAACTCATCAACTCAAACATTGACTTCTGGGATTTAAAAAGTATTTTTAATACTGCACTTCTACAACTATTACATGTGGTACTGTCAGAAAGTGGTATCAGCAAACACATTGGAAGGAAGAGGTGAGAGGAGGCAGCTGTGAGGAAATCTTTCTCCAGCCGTCGAGCTACAAGACCAACTTTCATTTCACTTGAGAGAATGCCACAGGCTCCCGGAAGCCTTTCACATGAGTGCACTGAGGCTTTTGAAACTCCAAGTGTAGTTTAAAAATAAACTGTCAATTTTTCTGCTTCTGGGAATACTCAAGACTAATTGGTTAAACGCGCACTTACATGTAATAATCTTGCCTCACAAACAAACTTTACAATGACAGGACATTTTGCCAAATTGTGCACTCCTGGCCTCAATACAGTACAGAATGTGTACTGCAGCTAAGTCTTGGCCCAGAGTTTTGAGAAAAACTACGGTTGCCACAATAGAATCTGCCACGATACAATACAATATTGTATTGAGAATTTTTATAGTCCTGTTTTTGTGATTTCATGTGCGTAAAGTACGCATAAAGATTGTGTAAAATTATTCAGCATAAACCTGCCATAAGTATTCTAATCATTGCAACTTGACAAACTAAAATGCTTCATGACCAACTATTATCACGAAATAATGATACTTTCGAAACGGGTGATAGGACTATCGTGGACCTTAAATCGTACGATTTATCGGAGTATCGCCATATCGCAGCAGCCTTCGTGAGCCATTCTCCGATTCTGCTTAAGTGAAATGTGAGTTGTCGCGGCGTCCTGGAAAATGCGCAGCTTGCGACGGAGCGAGCGCACTTTCCGCGAGCATCCTCGCCACTGCCCTCGCTGTCCCCGCCGCCCTGTGCCCGCGCCGAGCCCAGCAGCGTCGGCGTCCTCACTGCGAGGGGCAGGCGAGCGGCTGCACCCCGCGGAGGCTGGCGGCCT